TGAATTTGAGATTTTCATTTGTTGTTATTTGTAATCATCAAAATTAAACGAAATAAACATTTGAAATATATGAGTTTGAATGTAATGTATGAATATAATATACAAGTTTCACTCTTTAAATGGAATTACTGAAATAAATCTACTTTTTCATGATATTCTAATTTTATGACCAGCACCTGTATGTTGTACAAAAATGTTATCATGAGCTTTATTATTTGATATAAAGGGCCTGGTCATTTGCCCCGCCCCCGGCCCGGCTCTGATTTGTTCCACTAGTGTACTGAACCCTATGTAAAACTAAATTTATCTCAAAAACAATGGTCCCTTTGTGACCAGATCAGAGCTGGTAGTCTGCCTCTGGCAGTAGGTGTAAAGGTCTCTGAAGAGGAAAGAGTTTGTATTATTTGTGACCTTAATGTGGTGGAAGATGAATATCATTTTAGATAGAATGCAGATGTATTTTGGTTATCTAAGGGTATATTATATTATATATATATTATTATTATATTATTATAGGGTTATTTTAAATTTCATTTATGATAAGGAATTTTTTGCATTTGCTGCTTTTGTTTGTAAAGCCTGGGAAAGAAGACAACATGCACTGCATCCCAGCTGAGTTTTTGTGTGGCTTGTGATATGAATGTAGCCATCTTGTTGTGTTTGTTCTATGCATGGAGTGTCTTATAAGCCCATGAGAGCTGGGCACCAGTCAATCAATCAATCAATCAATCAATCAATCAATCAATCAATCAATCAATCAATCAATCACTACAGCTGTCTGGTTATTTAAATTAGCACAAACATTTTTAAAAAGTGCAAAAACAGTCAGGACTTCTTCATACGTTCTAAACCCCTTTTCTGTTTCTGTTTCTGAATAAAAATGTAAATAAAAATGCAAAAAATTAATGAGCAACACCTCACACTGTGTGGTTCTGAGTAATAAAATGATACAAGTGAAAAAAAATTTGCATCAATAATTTTAAATCCCAGAATAACTGTGTTTTTGGCCCAATGAGGAAAGATCTTCATTGGACAGTGTCTGAGTAATGAGCATGTAGGACAAAGGTGAGCTCTGCTTAGAGAGGAAACAAAGGTCAGAGTAAATCCTTTAAACATTACACATCAAACCTCACAGGTCAGATTATATCACAGGCTGGAAAAAAGACATCATAATAAACATGATCATTTTGTTCATCATCTTTTATAAACCAAATTTCAAATTAACTCTTCATTCTGTCAATTTACATTATTGACTTAAGAGAAGTTATTTATCCATGCAGCAAGTCTGCAATATTTAATCTGTCTGTATTTTACACATTTTGGCAACAGTATAAGACTATAATATTAAAAAAATTATTTATGTAATGGCAGCTGTAACTCCAAGCCTGTGTCATTAGTAAAATTGGGCAGTTATTCCTTGTTAATCCTCCTGTGAGTTTGTCATGCTGCCCTTTCAGCTCCAGATAATCCAGTGAACACTGAACAGCATTCATTACAATTTACTGTTTAACTGTCAAAGCACCGAGACAAAAAGC